GATCTTCCTTTCAGTGGAAACTCTCCACTCGGAATGCCGTGTAGCCCAGGCCTAGACTTAATCCCTGTCTGGGAAACCGACCCTTCGATGCAAGATAAAAATTTTACTGGCGCACACCTGGAAGACAAAGAATGGGGCTGTGGCTCTTTCCTTGAAGAGCTCCAGGAAGTCAGGCACCACCATCTCTGCACGGTTAGTCCCATAGCGCTTCTCTGCAGCTCGCAAGTCTGCCTCCTCCTGGTAACCTCTCCACGCTTGAAAGTATCCAATCGGCTGGTCGATGGGGAAGGCCACAGGTAAAAAGTGCTTCCTCTCCCTGTCAAACACGTAACGGATCTTCTGGAACTCAAAGGATAGGATTTCCCCTCCATCCTCATCCTGACATAAACAAAAAACATTGTGAAGCTGGATTACATTAGAGCATGTAACAGTTATTCTGAAAGTAGATGAAATCACAGGTCTAAAATTGTGCTTTGAAAAAAAAAGTATTATGTAAAATTGTAATATTAAGTGTCATATAAAACCAAGTTCATTTAAACTCGTAACTTCTCTTGTTAGAAATACTTTGATGCTTTATATATAAAATATTAAAATTCTATAAACTCTATCAAAATTTCTGCCTAATTCAACGATTAAAGATGTAAACGAAGCTGCTCAGAGCAGCTTGATGGGAGGGGCACAATTCTAGAGTACTGAGTCAAAACGAGTTCTCAGCAGAGGTGTTTTGAAACAGGCGTTCAAAGAGTTTAATTCCTCCCTCACAGAAAATTATTAGATAAAAAAAAACTACAAAAATGTCTGAGACATTGCTTTACAATAGTTTCGCGATTGTATTCTGGCATAAAAAATATATTTTTTAATATATTCATGGTGGAGAGGTATATGAAATTAATTAGAATGCAAAATTGCACCCAAAGAATTTTTTGTATTGCTCACCGTTTTATCATACTCAACAGTATGTATAAAAACTCAGAAGACATGAGGTTACAGTAGTTTTGGACAGTAAATAAAACAGCTAAATTTGGATTCTAGATACAGCAACCCCTCGGTCCATACACCACCACTGTAGAGAAAATCTGAGTAAGTTTCTCTCCACATCAGACGATTCTCACTGACTTTGTTTACATCTAAACAAATGTAGTGTGTGAACTCAGAATGGAGTGGATGAAACAGAATGAACTCTCATGCTGAATATATACAGTCTGTCACTGCACCTACAGATGTCTATCAATGCTATGGCAAACACGCACAAGAATAAACATACAATATGGAGGATAAGTAGCCTCACCTTGTCCCTCTGAAGTGGCACGAGTTCAGCAGAGCCATTGTTAGGTTTGGGTATCACTTTTGCTAAGCTGGCCTTTGTTGGATCAGGCTCCTGTCAGAAACACACAGATGGAAGATTCTCACACACTGCTTTACCACCCTGCAGCTGACAGGTTCTCATGTTTTTCTGATGTAACACATCCAGGGTCTGTCTTACAAAGCACACTTAGTTTGATCTCATCTTGGATCTTCTGTCTCACGATGGCGGATCACTTTTTACCAGGCTACATCACCCTGGCAACATATGCCGCAATCCTAACCTGCCCCAGGGCAGGTTAAGTTCTGAATTTCAGATCATAAACAGCTCTTGCTCTTTCTGTTTATGAACAATCAGGGACAGCTTTGGTCCTTTTTGGGTCACTTTTTTTCTTTGTGGCGTCATAATATAAAGCAGCTTATATTACTCCAATAAGCAATAATGCGGTGGCAGAGGAAACGGTGGTTTTACCATAGCAAACGCTTTACTTTCTACATATTTACAAAGTAAGATTTCTTTACCTTCATTGGAAAATAAGCAACTCCTCCGCATGTTTCACGTGATTGGTCTTCGGCCATAAATGTCACGCTTTCATTACAGTAACCATAGCTTGATTATCTAAACTTGAACTATCAGTGAAAGTTGTTAATTGCTGTTGTAAAACTAGTTAACACAGCTGTACTTGTTGTGTGAAGCTGAAACGCAGTAAGAAACACTGTCTAACTTGACATGCTAATATGCTTTGTGAGACAGGCCCCAGATACAGTTAATGAAGGACTTGATCATTAGCTAATTTTCTCAGGTGCAGGAAAACAAGTAGTAGTGAAGTGCTGGTGGGCCTCCCGGTTCTTTCCTTTAAACCACTCTTGTACGTCAGCTGACCTTTGGTCTACACCAGTGTTTCCCAACTTCTGCTCTGTAGTAAACTGCACTTCCACGCTTTCCCAGGTCTAACAGATCTGAATCAGCTCAAGAGGGACCTGACCATTAGCTAATGCTGTGATCCAACTGCAGGGAAAACATAAAACAGTGCAGGGCAGCCAGAGGACTTCGCAAAGCAGGGTTTCTCAGCTAACCACAGAATTTAAGCCAACAATCTGGACTTTGCAATAAGAGGAGAGCTAAGGGAGCTATGGGACAATCCTCACTTGTGGCTTACTGAGAAATCCTGTTATGAGAAATATATCCCAGATGGATTTCAGGAATGGAGATGGGCAAACAGTGGGCTACACGCTGTCCATGGGACCCAAGTGGGGTCCTGAAGGTGGAACCTAGGGTTGAGCACTAGGACAGTACCTATGAAGTCAAAAGGCACTTTTAATGCAACTGTTAAACCCACATCCATGTGGATTTTACACTTCTGCACTGATCTGCTTTTAATAAAAAATGTCACTTAAAAGTGTTTAACAAATTGTTTTTGAGCACCTTTCACTTTCTTTTTATACAGAAGTCTATATTATCTGTCAGACATTGCTTTTAACCTAAGTAGGATACTTGTGGACGTGTGTTCACTTTCATCTCCTTTTCCTCAGTCATTAGACATTTTTGTTCGCTTTGTTAAAACCTGGTGCTTTGCTTTGTTGGCAGCTTTAAACACTGAATCCTTCCAGAAACCCATATTGACACAGCAGTCAATAACATTACTATCACCCCAATTTCCACAGCCTATGAAGTTGAAGTCAGTTTGCTATTTGAATTTCCCCGTTCCACCTTAAATGGTGCAGAAGTTACATTCAGAATTTAACCACTGCACCATTTAAGGTGGAACGGGAAAATTCGAACAAGAAGCTGGCGAATAGGAAGCCGACTTCAGCCGCGTCCTTAACATACGAGAGTGTTTACCTTGGAACAGGTCAGCCAGCAGTGCATGTGCACCGACCAGTAGCCCGACAGCACGGTGAGGACGTGCGCGATGCCGATGGCGGCGAGAGCCAGCAGGCCGGCCTCCGGGTACTCGGAGGCTCCGTAGACCCCGAGCCATACGTACAGCCAGCCCGGGTAGAGGAAAGCGGCGAACGGCAGCACCGTGCCGTGAAGGAGTCGCGGCCTGCGCCGGTAGAGTGACACCGAGCTCACCAGCTCGTCGCCCGGGCCGTTCTCCCGGTGCTGCTGCTGCTGCTGCTGGTGGTGATTGGAGGCCGGCGGCGGAACCCCGTCCGCTCCGCGAGCTTTAGTGGCGTCCATCCTTCCTGCGCTTTCCTTTCCCTCCCTCTCCCTCTCCGGGGGACCCTCCTTCTGCTCTCCACCTCCTCCTGACCGCCGAAGATGGTGGATAATAAACGCAGTTGCTCGCCGTCCGTGCTGTCCGGCCGCCGGAACGGTACAAAAAAATAAAATAAATAAATAAATAAAAATCAGCGACCGCACAGACACACGTACCCCGGCTTCCGCATATGTAAGTGCGTACGGTGTAAGACGTCAGTTCCGGTATCTAGTTCACCGTCAGTTTGTGTTATTTGAACAAAATTATAAATCTTAAAACTTTCAGTGGCCAAGTTTTATATCCACAAGTGTAAATTCTCAGGCAAGAAGCCAGTTTTTATTGCCTTTGAAAATAACATGGAACATTATATTGAATTAATCCAGCCCTCTTTAAAGCAAAAAGCCGTAAAAATTGTTAAAGCATGTACTTCAATAATTTTCTGTGTAGTTACGTATATCCCAATGGAGAAATGTATATATGTGTACATTGTTATATGTATTTTTTATATATGCATCTATGTCGTGTACTGTTTTGCTTTCAATTTAAAAAATATTTGAACAGAAATAAAAAATTACAGCACTTTTTATTTCGAGGTAAATCTGTCGTATACGTTCTCTTTTTTCTTAAAAAAAAAACAGGGATCATTGATGGAGATGGAGAAAAGTCTTTTCAATTTCAGTCAAACTTAACACAAACGTCTGTTTTTAACGGTATTCAGAGCAAATTAAAAAATGAACAAATTAAACCCGTTACCGAATCCGTATTCAAATGAGCTGGGTCTGGTTTTAATTACAAAATCACGACTTTTTCTCTTCCAGTTGCCATGACATGGCTGCTCCAAGGGCTACGTCGGTATAGATGAATGAAACTTCCTTTCCTATCTGCTGGCCTTGCTTTTACCTGATCTATAACCCATAGACACTCTAAATCTATTAGCAGAGCTGACTGTAGCGGTGGATCCATATATGTTGTAGATCAGCGGATACGAAAGGACGTTTCATTCAAGCGTTCTATCTACCGTCCGTGAATTTCCCCAATCTGCTAGCCATATGGATATACATGCTAGTCGACTCTGTTAAAAATGTAGTGACACATGAGCTACAGATCAGGCAAATGCAGATAGGAAAGGACATTTGAGTCGGTCAGTTGGCGGCAGCCAATGAACCGTGCTGCCTTCACTAAATCCCGCCTCCTGCGCCGAGATTGACAGTCGAGGCACCAATGGAGTCGCGCTTCGTGCAGCGCTCTAACCAATCAGATGCGATCTCGATCATGACGTGAGGGATTGTGTGCGTATGGAGACCCATGTGGCTTTTCAACCTTCATGTTGTGCTGATGTTAAACAGTAACCGTCAAATATGTAAGTGTTGTCGTTAAATAAAATATGTTGAGCGCCTTTCGCTTTACGTATTTTATGTCAGATGTCTGGCTGTGCACGTGCTTAGACTTTTTTAGCCTGTTAGGGTCGTTTGTGTTCACTTTCACGAGGCTGAAGTTGGCTATCTATTCGCCCTTTTTTCGTTTTACCGTCCCACCTTAAATGGTGCAGCGTTTACGTTCTGGCGCATTTGGCGCTCTGTAACGCATATGGTTACTGTTTAACATTTAAGGTGGAACTGGAAAATTCGACTTCAGCTTCGTTAGACTCTCACCCCTCTTTTCTTATTGAAATAACTTTGCTCGCTTTATTTCAGGTCTGGTGTTTTGCTGCCTGTATTAACTTACTGGATTTATTCTTACAATAGATGTGCTATAATAACATTAGTGCTGTTGGTACATCTCATGCATTGTCCTCTAATGTTTTCAGGCAGGCCGCAATGGAGATAACAGCCAAATACTGCCAGAAGGAGATGGAAGAGTACGGTGCTTGTGTTGCCTCTCATCCAGCGGAGTGGCAGCACCAGTGCCAGCACCTGAAGGTGAAGGTGGCTCAGTGCACCTCCTCTCAGTACGTTTATACTGTACATTTTTTTGTAGATCTTAGCATTCATACACATCATCCATAACAGCCAGAGGTGGGAAGTGACTGTTTATATTTACCTTCTTACCTGTACTTAAAAGGGAACTTCCGAAGTTTCGGAATAATTCAGTCCTTAACATGTAAATAAAGTCATTCAGAGTGGTTTGATGTGAAATGTTTCATTGTAGAGAAACTTAAAGACTGTTTTCTTTACAGTGGTGGTGAAAGGAACCAGGGGTCGCCATGTCTATGACACAAATATAGCCAGTTTATTTACTATCTAAAACCACCAGTGAACCGATGTGTCGTCTGAGTTTTTATATGTAATGTTGATGATGGTAAAATAGTCATAGATCTGAAAAAAAAAGTTTTCTTTGGGGACTACTTTGCCTTACAGCTCCCTGCATGTACCCCTCTGTGAATGGATTCAAATAAACGGATTAAAATACAGTTTGAGACGTTATCACAAAACTATGATAAAACAGTATATCAGACATCAAGCAGCATATATCTAATCGTTTTATGTAATAACTTTTAGAGCTTTTAGAGGTGGATGTCTTGTTCCTGTCACCACTACTATGAACACTTACGACTCAGCATGTTTCTCTAGAATGGAGCATTTCACGCCAAGCTCTAAATGATTTTATTTTTCAGTCATTTAATTATGTAGAATTTTTGACAATTTGTTGGTGTTCCCCTTTACACACTGGACATGCATTATACTGTTTAAAACTAAAGTTTTGTTTTGTCTTTAATCAAAGTAACGACTTTTGCCTGCCTCGGTTGATGTTTGATTGTCATCGTGCGGGGAAAAAATAGCCAATGAAATTGTTTTACTGGTCACTCCTACTACCCGAACCTATCATTAAGAGAAGTGATTTACACTGCTCTGCCTACCTCTGCTGTCAGTCTTTATGTACTAATGCAGTTATGCTTACCATTTAGAGACGGTTCATCATCCTGCTAGTGTTTCCTAGTCCAGTGTTCAGGGACCTTTAGACAGTCTATATATTTGTCTATTGCATGTCCCAGCACACCTGAACCAAGCCATCTATATCACTGAATAATACCTGCTACCATTGCAGTGGGATAGATTAAGAATGCTGACTGTCTGAGGATGCCCTAGTAATGGGTTGGGACACACCACATGGTTCAAATTGTGTTGGACTGCTTAAAATTTCAAAGCACTCTCCTTCTTCCTCTTGCTTGTTCATGTAGTCCAGTGATTAGGAAGATCCGGACGGACTGTGCAGGAGAGTTTGCCGAGTTTGAACGATGCCTGCGAGAGAACCAAGCCTCTGCTCAGACCTGTTCACCACATGTTGTACGTTTTCTGGCCTGTGCAGAGACCGTTGACATTAAAGGTTTAGGTAAATATCAATACTGTCATAACAACTCATATTTAGGTGTTTGAGATCATCCTTCATTCATTTAATTTTAAGTTGGATCAGCCATTAAGTACGAGTATTTGATTTTTCGGGAGGTATTTCTGAGCAGATCAGATACAGGAAAATCCACCTGCATAAGGAAAGAGAAAGTCAAAGTAAAATAAGTGGAAAAAATACACGTTTCCAAAACTGGAGCTCAAAAAATATTAAATCTACAAAGAAAACGGGACTCCTAACAACTGTGCAAGATCTGGTAGACCACCAAAACTGTCCCTATCAGATGAACAGTACTTAAAGCTTTCGCCTTTGGGAGAGAAGAGAAAATCAAGCTGCTTCAGATGTGAAAAAATGTGTTGTGACAACTCAGTGCTATGAGTCTGAAAGGATGTGTAGCTCAAGAAGCCCTTACTGAGAAAAGGAAATGTTAAAAAAATGCTAATCAAACAAAGAAGCTGCTGGTGTTCTCAGAACAATGGACTGACCACCTCAGAGTCCAGACCTCAACATCACTGAATATGTATGAGATTACTTGGATTGTGAAAAGAAGAAAATGCAACCAACTTCAAAGACTGAACTTTGGCGGTATGGAAAAACATCCCTGCAGATTTCTTTGGAAAAACTAGAAGTGAGTCTCCTGAAAAGAATGGAAGCTATAATAAAAGTAAAGGATGAAAACACTAAATACTTAAAATAACGATGATGTATGTAGTTGGTGAGTTTTGTTTAGTTCTGTTTTAAACATATGTTTTCCTCTTTTTTTCCTGATACAAAAAAGTGAATAACTTGTACTTAATGGCTGTTCTAACTGGAAATTCAATAAATGAAAGGGTGGTCTCTGACTTTGGCACAGCACTGTAGGGCAGATTATAAGAACAGAGGGTTTTGAAGTCTGATATCAAGTATAAATACTGTGTTCTATTATTAAGTTCGTCTTTGGTTAATATACTCCTTTAAGTTAAGTACTACTCTTGTGGCCTTGAAACATCCCAAACTAACAAGAGTTCATTGTTCTCTCAACAGGAAATGCACTGCCTCAACCCACATAGATCAAAAGACCCTCTACGTGACCTCAGTATTAAGCCCTGGAACTTATAGCTTAACTTATTTTTCCGTGATCAAAATGGTGTACACACACAGACATAGTAGGCTTTTTGATACTGTTGTCAGAAAAAGTGATGAGTTATTTGCACACATTTCAAACCATGTTTTATGTGAGAAATACTGACCTCAGTATGTATAATGTGATGAAATAATAGATTCTGTTTTTGTATTCTGTTTAAGCCATTTACTTACTGTTTACTCATTACTAATATTATTACATAAGATTTACTATTTGTATGTAATTTAAATAATAAAATAACAACAATACATTATGATTAGTAGGCCTGTCACAATCATAGAATTTTAGCTGAAAATAAATTGCCATATTAATAATAATTGCGATTAACAATTTAGTTGTCCTTTTTTGTTCACTGTATGCAACTATTAAAGTACATGCCTGAAGTGATTGAACTGGCTGATTAGTTCTCTAGCCTACTAGCTGCAGACACAGCTCAAGCTCAGTTAATCAAACATTACTCACCATCGCCCTCTAAAGATGTTATTAACAAAGATCCAGTAAACAAACATTACTCACCGCCACCCTCTAAACATCCAATAAACAAACATTTCTCACTGCTGTCCTCTAAAGTCAGACATTACTAAGACCTGCGCTTTTTCTGCTTTCTTTATTTTTTACATGTATTTGCCTGAACCCTGATGAAAACCTACCCAAGTCAAATAATTGTGATCAGGCAAGTATGTAATAATTGTGACAGGCCTAATTATTAGCATTATTAATATAAAAAGTATGGCCGACTCAGAAAGCAGAGAATAGTTGCTTATCTAAACCAATGAATTTCATTATTTTTAGTTACAATTTTCACTTTTGCACTGTTCTGAACTGTTTTGACGCTCATGGTAATTTAGTATGTGGGGGGGGGGTTCAGTAATAATAATAATACAGCTCTGCATGGGGTTCCTGATTTTTATGATACATTTTCATGATAAAAAATATAAAATACAGAAGCTGTGCAAAGTCAGCCCTACATAGATACATTCTTTGTTTAGTATGTTTCATGAACAAAGCCTGAGACTTTTGCTGGTTTTGCGTATCAAATGTGGAATAAATGATTTTGTACATTCATAGTATTACTGTAGTTAATATTAGCTTCCATACTGTAACTATTCTTTGAGGCTGCTTGGTTCACGTTATACAGGCAATTTGCTGTGGGCTTTAGATGAGAGGAACGTCACAGTCGATATATCACACCTCAAAGTTTTCTCTCCTGTTCATGCTGTTAGACATGACAGTTAATCTTTTTTGAGTCACACAGAATATTTATTCTAATCTGATGAGGGTGCTGAGTGCTTTCACTCAGTTTCTCATGGATCTCTTTGTCTCCCTCACCGTATAATATTAAACTAAGGAATGTGTGCGGTCTCTCCCTCATAGCATGTCCAGCTGCCTGCTGGCAGGGGAACAAAAAGAAAAAGATGGATACTGGAGGGTTAGAATCCCTTTGACCACTGACTGGATGAGTGGGAGGACAGGGCTATGAGGAGGAGCATGGAGTGTGTTGACTACTACACTGTTCTTTTCTTATTATTAGGACGAGAGGGTAACCAAACATGCAGTTTCTCTGGGAAGTGTATTTTCTTTTTTTGACCTGATGACAGTCCCAAAACCTAATATCAATGATGAAGACTCACTAATCATGTAGATACAGTTATAGTAACAGCTAAAATTAGTAATTATATTGTAAAGGTGAAAACACAATACACAGAAACACAGAGAATAACAGAGAATTCACTTGAAGAGAATCACAGAAAGAAAACAAACTAAAAAATTGTGCCTTAAATCGTCTCCCTTTCAGCAGTCCTTCAAGAAATATTATTACACAATGAATTACCCTGACATGACATGATCCAAGAACATTTGACTTGTTAATATTCTGCTGCACACTTTGTTTATAGGCCATGTTGTCCAGTCACAGCTTGCAGTTACTTGGCTTGGTCCGATTTGTCAGTATAGATACTTCGAGATCAAGATAATATAGAGTTGACACTGTTAAAACGATAAGTGCTCTGTACATTCTTGAATTTTAAATAAGAAACGTCTCACATATACAGTATATCATGCTGCAACATAAATATTCCAATACTGAAGTTCTGCCACACAGGAGAAGCTACAAAATATTCAACAGTATCATACGGAGAGACCGCAGTGGTAATTGCAACAACAGTAATGATACAAACACACTAAGCGTATTACATCAGAGCACAAGAACATTTAGCATCAACTTGCCACGTGCTGCACACCCCAAAAACACAGAGGTGCTATTCTGTTAACACGTGTAGTAAAGATAATGGAGACGCTATAATAGTGTACCTCTACCCTGTTACCCGCAAGACTCTCAAAGCAACCCTGTTTAACTGTGTTAGACCCTGAAGAATTCCTTACCTTAAAACAAACATCTTTACAGCGTTTGGCACTGCCCTAAATTTGGGCTGATATTAAAAAAGCTCAATTCTCTTGAGACACATTAAAGAGTTCTACTTAAATCTGAACTACCTATTGAGTCAATTCAAATTTGATTTTCTCCAGGTGTAGTGGAACAAAGGTAATTGTCACAAACCCTGCTACATCGCATTGTGAACCGTATTATTTTCCTCAAACAGAAGCTCAGATGTACCCTGTGTCCAAACATCTACAACACTGATAGTAGGGGTGGGAATCCCTAGGCACCTCACAATTCAATCTGATTTTGATTCAGGGTGTCAACATATGATTTTAAACCATTCTTGATGCATCTTGATGTCAGCCTTAATTTCCTGTGTTGTGTATCTGGGGCACAGCCAAGGAGGAGTCGGTTAGATTGTTTAACCTACCACCCACCTCCCTTTTAAAATTACATTAAATAAATAAATGCAAAAAACCAACCAACCAAACAAACAAAAATATCCAAAAGATGTCTCTGGGAATACAGTGCAAAATTTTAAAATGTTTGTGATAATACACATAAATGAAAAAAACAAGAAAGAAACATTATAAAACTCATCATTTAACAGACCTATCTCAAAACTGTATGGGCGTGGCCTAATATTCTGATGAGTGAGCTTGACTGACATCTGCCCAACAACCATGCATGCTACAACAAGCTCTATATGTACAGGTCATGTTGTAGACCTCACTGTGTCAACTCACTTAAAACTTGATTCAGCTCAGTTAAGACTCTTATTCACGTTACTGCTGTATGTGCATCCAGGGAATGCTAGCGTGGCCAGTTGAGCAAACGAAAGGATCGATGTTCTTGCTAGCTCAGTTATGCTTGCTAGGTTTAACTTTACTTGGTCATTAGTTTTAAGATGGTACGTTTCTTTGACTTGAATAGAGAAATGGAGCCTGGGGAAACAGTTTTGTTAATGCTATGGATGGGAGGAGCCACGTCAGCCTACATCAGAGCGTGCTACATCACATGACAGATGAGCTAGCTGGATAGCTGTTATGCTTGCTAGGTTAGCTTTTGCTTTATTGTTAGCTTGATATTAATAAGTTTCTCTGACTTGAGCTACAGGACACCGTGGGAGGGCACAGTTTTGTTAAAGTCTGGGGGCTTGCTTCCCCCGTCAGCCTTGTGTTTTGTGAGGAAACTACTTACTTACACCCTATCCAAGACTAAGGTCCCATCCTATCGTCAATAGGAGCTGTTCTTCTTAGAACCGGGAAATTATAAATTATGTAAAGCATAGCAGAAGTGCTGCATGAGGTTAGGGGAAAAGCAGGCCTGCTTAATTGTAATAATTAGCAGTGTTGTAAAGGATTACATATGTGCTTGTAATTAAAAGATCCACTTTTTGGGAAAAAAACAACCACTTTTAGTGCCAAAGCGTCCTGCTTTTTAACGTGTATGGGTTCTTGTGAGTTTATTTAAAGTTCTGAGAAACTTTCAAGAGAGAATTGCGATGCATCTAAGAATTGATTATTTTTCCCACCCCTAATTAATAGGCCTCACAAATACAGATGTTAGTATTCCAGCTAATCAAACCACTTTCCATTCTTACTACCTTTGCCAATCATTTTGTGGCATTTTAGTAGATGAAAAGTAGTTCAGTATCTAATTATCTGTGAGGTCCATTCTTATACAAGTCCACCTCATCTCAGCCATGCTGACCTTTATCACTGGGTGGAGTTGTGTTTGACTTGTCTTAATCACTCTGGTATGTATTCTTTCGCTTTGCTTTCTGAACCATACCAAAACTCCCTAAACTAGTGGAGCACAGTTCCAGACCAGCTCAGTTTAGTGTTTCCCTGCTCTAATACCCTTCAGAGTTAGCTTGTTAGTTGAGTTCGGCTATGTAAGGGCAAGAAAATATTTAATGTGAGAAAATTTAGACTTAATTGTCCAGGTTTCTCATTAGTCCAGCACTATGAAGCAATTTTAATGGAGAATCACCTACTTTGAGATGAGATTTAAGCTATACCTCAACATAACAGCTTTGTTTCTGCAAATCAAACCCAATCTCTGAGTCTCTTCTTAGCAGATTTAAATGAGCCGCATATGCCTTAAAAAGACTCCCAAACTCTTAATCAGAAGGGCTAGGCATTAGTGTGACTACCAGATCAATTTCTGAGGTGAGGTAATTCCTATGCTAAAAGGTTTATTGGTAACAACTTACTGTAGGGCAATGTTTATGAGGATACATGGCACCTTCGTTGGCCCTTCATCACAACGAACATAGACCTACGTAAACATTTACAAACCCTTTCATCATCATTTCCATCATTCATTTGTCATTAAAAAGGTTCCATTTGCCAACACTGATGTCAAGTTGGCATAACATCAGCATCAGGTGACACTAATTGTTTTCTGATATTAAGCTGTGTCATGACAGAAGATGAAATGACATAGACTTCGCAGCTCTGTGTATGTTACAGTGACATCATGCTGATGATATAGCTAGCCAAAACAGCCTGGTTCAACAAAAAGCATTTATGTGGCCCTTAGGTAAAGCGAGTTTCATTTTACCATTTATAAGATGTCACATATTCAGCATTATGTCATTGTGATATAGACTAACCTACAAAGTCAGCTGTTAAAACACGCCATGTCAATTCACCAAAAATGTCAAAAGCAGATGATGCCTGTTGGAATATGCCTTTATACATATATATATTTATGTAAGTTGTCACTAACCTACATTAAAGTGTAACCAGTTTATATTTATAACAAGAGTCAATTCTTTGTAAATGATAGATTTGCAAGTGAATTTTTGCCATCTCTGAGCGTTGTATGAATTTGACGTGTTCACTTTTAAGCTGTTTTGTCAGCAACATGGAGAAATTATGAGGTAATACCTTTGTGATAAGCTGTCTATAGTTATAGCGTGCCTATGACTGTTACAAAAAGTATGTACATGTGTCTTCATGTTGCACTACATCAATATTGGTTAGCCATGAGAATATTATTCCTCCAGATTCCTCAGGCCTGTTCCTTGTCAACCCCTAGATAGTGGACTTTTTTGTTTGCTTTGACTCCTTCTAGATCATGACTGGCACAGCTCAAGTGTGATTGTGTTATGTGGGATCCTTCAGGCTTGATGGGGTGAAGGTTAGGTTTCCAGCAGGACTTTGTCTGGATGCTGCCTCTCTCCATGGTGGTGGTGGCTTAGTCTGGGGTCAAAGGTGAAGAGGGGTCACGAGGTGAAGTAGGAGTTTTGCATTGAATAGAGGCGGTCAATTGGATTTCCCACACGTCCCGCCACAACCCCTCCCTCAGCCGTTGCCAAGAGACAGTCACCAAGGTGACTGAGGCTTCCATCGCTGTCTAAGTCATGGAACACTGTTTCTGAGTCTGGAAGGATGAGAATGACAATGGCAAATGACACAAAGCCCAGGGCTGATAGAGACTTTGCTGCTAAGTGTTTCTTTTGTCTTACCATAGGGGTGCATCTGCTCAGGGCCTAGCTGAGGGGGTGTTAGGCCATGCCGGAACTGCTCAGCCCCGTATATGTTTGGGTCTAGAGCCAAGAGCTGCTGCCGTGACATAGAGGAATAGGAGAGCATGCCATCTAATCCATGACTGCTGGAACCATCTGTGAAGAGACAAAGTGTGAGCCGCAACATCTCCTTCCACTCAAATCTTATTTTATCTTCCATTTTCAAGCCAACCCACCTCCTGGAGACTCACTGGAGACTTGGACATACCTGCTCCAAATAATCTTTTTTCAGAGGACCTTCACCAGCTAAATGAAGAATTTGTTGGGTTTCAGAGTTTTAGGTCTGGAGCTAAACATGAAAGCAGTACTGTGCAGAAGTCAGAGACCACCCTCCATTTATTTAATTTCCAGCCAAACCAGTCATTAACCCCTAGGTGGTGTTCAGGTCTGTGGGACCCATTTTCAATGTTTACCAAAAGATAAAATTATGCAATTTATTATTATTTCAACCTCAGATTTCTTGGCCTTTGCTCATTTTCTGTGAAGAACTTATAAAATAACACATTTTCATTGACTTCACACTGTTCACTCCCTATACATTTATATTACACATGTGGTGTCAGGGTGAACCCACGGGGGATAAAAGTGTGGAGGTGCTGTGTCCACTCAAAGTTCAAAGTTTTATTTGTCACATACATAGTCATACACGGTACAACTAGCAGTGAAATGCTTCACTCTGTTCTCCTATATGGCCTGCTGTTAGTGTGTGTGTGTCTGTGTGTTTATGTGTTTGTATATGCGTGTGTGTGTGAGGGTAGACAACATGGACAAGCTGCTGACTGGCTACAGCTGCTAAAGGAGACCCCTACGCTGACCACTTGTGATATTTTAAACATCTGGTATTTTTACATAAATTGCTATGGCTTTATTGATTTAAAAAACAATAATGTGGTGGATCCACAAGACCACTGAGTAACAAAAACATGAACACTACACAAGGGTTAAGTAAAAGTTATTCATTTTTCAGGAAACATTTCTGAGGATATAAGATATAAAATAATCCACTTGCATAAAGAAGGGGACAGTCATACAAAAAAAGAAGAACATTTGCAAATCCAACAAAGCTGCTCATGATCTCAGAACAATGGACTGATCACCCCAGTGTTCCCAGAATACAACCAACTTCTCCTAGAAAGAATGGAAGCCACAATAAAGGTGAAGAGTGGACACACTAAACACTGAAAAAATATATTATATTTAGTCGTTGAGTCTTTTGTGTAGTTTTCTTTTGAATACACTTTTTTCTTAAAGAACGTTTCAAGTGGAATTTAAATAAATGAAGGGTGGTCTTTTACACATTACTCTATTTGTCTGTCTGTATAATAAGCTGTCCTTGTGACCTGTCTACCTAGTAAGCTACAGTAATTATGTCGCAATATGCTTTCCTGAGCATATCGTGGCTACTGTCAGTACTTAAAAAACACTTCCCAACTACTTGTTTGATTACAAAGACGACATAATTAGTCCAGTTTAATTGGAATTCCTGCAGTGTAGTGTGTGAAATGTTGAACGTTTTTTAACTTAATAGATTTTTAAAAAATCACATATTGTGACATATCATGTATCGTGAAGACTTCTTAAAGTATCATGATATTACATTTTTTGCAATATCGCCCACCTCTAAGTTACATCATTTTTCTGTGCATCCATCCATCTTACAAAAAAATCTACATAACCATTCAATATCCATTCATCCCTTCTTACCCCATGTCTTACCCTCACTGTCATCGTTACTCTGTCGGCCCCCTCTGCTCGGACCCCGCCTGCTGCCTCCGATCTGCTCCTGCTCCTGCTGCTGTTGCTGCTGTTGCTGCCTTCGAGCAATCTTCTTCATCTGATCATACAGCAAGACAGCCACTCAAATCAAGTGGTCTCCAGCACTCACTCCAGTAAAGCAGAACATAACAGTTGGTTTACCAGAGAAGCAGATGTAGGTTTACCTTTGCTCTCTGGTTTTGGAACCAGACCTGCACGACGCGTACTGTTAATCCAGTCTCAGCTGCCAGAGTCTCTCTCACCTGCAGCACCGAAACATGATACATGTCTGAGATTCACGACTATCTTTGTGTGGGTTTGCATTTTTGGCTGATTGCTCTTTGATTGCTCACCTTTCGGCAGGGTTTGGAGGACACCTCAAAGGATGCCTTAAAGGCGCGGCGTTGCTGTGTGGTTAGGATAGTGCGTGGTCGCTTCGATCTCTTATGTTCTTTACTATCATCGCCAGCCTTTCCTCCAACAGAGCCACTGCCACCTTCCTCATCCTCACTCTTCACTGCAGATCCAAAAGAAGAAAACCTTTGTTTTAACAATACATGATTTTGCAAAGTGCCTTTTCTTTTTGCTATAAACCTGGCGGTATTTTGCCCACCCTTATGGAAGCCCATGAACCCTAGGTAGAAGAGAAAATTCTTCTCTGTTTCTTGTAGCAGTATGTCAAAATATTGACATCCCAAAATAATGACTTTTTTTTCAAAATAACTTATTTTCTCAAGATTTTGAGGTACTGTCAAAGTAAATGAATTTCAAGGAAGTAATTATTTTAGAATGTCATGATAATTAGATAGTAAGTCATTATTTTGACATAGTAAGGCAATATTTTGAGAAAATAAGCAATTATTCTGATCTAGTAAGTCACTTTAGTGAAAACGTCATTATTTTGAGAAAATTATCCCAAAAATATCTCAAAGATTTCTCTAAGTCAAAATGGGAATGTGGTAATGGGCTTCCATACATCCTCATCTTAATATGGTGGAGAAAAAAAAATCACTAGGTTGATTAAACATGTCTTAATATCTAATTACTTTGTTAAAAATGGAGTAACAGTCATCCTAGGTTATTCATTTCAGGACATGCTTTTTGTTTTTTTTTTCCCCTGAGGTGCTTCCTACACACCTGAGCCGGAATTTTTTTTTTGCCTTCTCTGTTACCTGATTCGGTGGGGGCAGGACTGATGGCAGCCAGCATCTCCCTCTCCTTCTCATAGTCCCCCCGGCAAAGCAGCTGGCCTTCCTTCAGCACAAACTCATCGCCCCTCTGCAGCCTGCGCTCACATTCACAGCAACTGAAGCAGCCCAGGTGGTACACCTGACCCAGCACACGCATGATCAGCTCCGAGCGTCCAATCACCTGCAGGCATGCACTGCACTTCCGCACGAACAGCCTGACACACAAACACATAAGCCAAAAAGAGCAAGAGAGTGAGAGACAGTTGTATGCAGGAGTTTTGGACACCCCTCAGCCAAACTTACGAACAAACGCAACAACAACTTATAATGACGTTTTGAATGCACACTTTTGCACAATTTTGATTTTAACACATCAGAAAATAATAAAATACAAAATATAAAATGTACCATACCTTTTGCACAAGACACCATTTTATATTTTTTGCCCCAAATATATTAAATTCAGTAAATAAACTATTTATGTAACACATAAAAAATAAATATTTGGATATAAGAAGTGGTGTTTTCTTCAATAATAACAACATAGACTGCAATATTAGAAACTAAAAAGCATTTTGCATGCTTTATTCATTTTACAATTCACTGTTATTAATTATTAATAATAATGTCAATCTATCCACCTCTACATTTGATCACCACTTTTGAAATACAAGGCATTCTGGATGTTAATTTTATTATAACTTTTTTATTCTATTATAACTCTTTTTTATTATAATAGTCTGTATGTATGTTTTTTACTGTGACCACCCTTCATTAATTTAATTTCCAGTCAAACCTGCCATTAAGTACAAGTTATTAATTTCTTAGTGTCAGGAAAAAAGAGAAAGCATATTTAATTAAAAACCTTAACAACTAAATATAATATCAATGTTTTCAGTATTTAGCATTGCCACCCTTTACCGTTATCATAGCTTGCATTCTTTTTGGGAGACTTACTTTCAGTTTCTCAAAGAAATCTGTAGGGATTTTTTTCCACACCTTCAAAGTTCAGTCTTTGAAGTTGGTTGCATTGGATTTCACAATCCAAGTAATCCCAAACACATTCAGTGATGCTGAGGTCTGGACTTCTTTTCTCAGTAAGAGCTTCTTGACAGCTACGCATCCTTTCAGACTCATGGCGCTGAGTTGTCTTCTCACAGTGGAAGGATGGACAGAAACACCTGTGGATTTTTTCAGATCTGAAAGCAAGAGAGGAGCTTGATTTTCTCCTCTCTCTCAAAGATGAAAGCTTTATGTGCTGTTTATCTGATGGGGACTCTTTTGGTGGTCTACCAGGTCTTACATGGTTGGTCTACCAGGTCTTACACAGTTATTTTAATCATTTTTAAGCTCCAGCTTTGGAGATGTATTTATAATGTATAAGTGTATAAGGGTATTTGCTTATATCTAATCACCTCAGAAATATTTCCTTAAAAATGAATAAATTTAATTTAATATCTGTTTTGACTGGAAATTAAATAAATGAAGGGTGGTCTCTGACTTTCACATAGTAGTCAGTACATATAACATATTTCTCTTATGCCTTCAGGAGCAAAAAGACCCATCTTGTAAAGTCTCTGCAATGATGTATGTTAGACACTGGGGGGCAGCACTTGACAAAAGACTAACTGGACCTTAGATGACAACAGAATATGAATTAAACAGAATAGTGTGTAGTTTCAATAGATAATGCAGTAAAGGACGTAAATAATAAAAGCACAAGAGGGATCCCTAACATATGCTGCTTTCTCTCTAGACGTACAACCATAAGCATCAGTTACTCAACAATTATTCACACCCATGAATGAATATACCTTACACCCTATAGAATTGTTCCTTTTCATCAGGTCTCTCCCCAGAAAGTCAGTTCTTTTTAAAGGCACAGTGATTTCGCTCTCAAATTCTTCCTAAATCCCCCTTTCTTTTCCCGTCCCTTCCCTCCCTCCCTTGTTGGTATTTTCTGCCAGAATTCCCCGTCCTCCCTCTCTCCCTCCCTCTCTCCCTGCGCAGCTCAGCTCAGTGAAACTAATAAAGACAGGATTAATTAGATTGTTGTTTAAACAGTGCGATGCCCAGACAGACGCTATAAACTCATAACCAGGGATTGAGGATAGCATGGGGTTAATCTCTCCTCTCTCTTTTTCACACACTCAAATAAACACGGTGTACTCGCTCGCGCACATGCACACACGCCCGCAGGGCCACACGAATACACTCATGAGTATTGACAGGTACCTGCAGTTGTGCCGATATGGAGTCCTGTCTTAATTGAGAAGGCTCATCTTTGTGCATGTGTAATTCCCTTTCATTATCGATACACATAAAAACACACAAAGCTGTAGTGACTGGAAACAGTGATGGACTGAATTTATTTGATTCAAATAATTTCCATCTTCATATAATATATTACATTAACACATTATTGCTTAATGTAAGAAAACGTAAAGACAAAATTGTGTTTATGAAACATGTCACTGCTGTCAGACACAAACCTTCTATCTCCAAAATGCTAACGTTATAGGAGAAGCAAAAACATTCCTAACTTTTAGTGTAAGTTAATATAAAATGATTTTATTCCAAGCAAGTTTGGCCATTTCTATTGAAAAAAAATCAATAATATAATAATATTCTCTTCATGTTGTAATTATGTACACATTAAAATTACGAAAATTCAGTGCATGACTCTTTTTAGTATGCTTAAAATGCAGCGATACCCTACATGGCAGTGTTACTGAAACACTGAATTAAGCACTGACTGATTTCAGCAAATATCAAGACACAAAGCTGAAAAAGTGATAGAACTCTTAGACAGCACAAAGTTGAAAATAATAAGAAAGGCCAGAGAGCGGGAGTGTGTGGGCAGAAGAGAGAGTGAGAGAGGTGTCACCCAAAAAGGCAATAATGTGAGCGAGCATCAGAAAATGAAGAGCAGAGAGTGGAAAAACATTTTCAACAGAATAGGTCCAAGAGATACTGTGTGTGTATTTGTTTGTGAGTGTGTGTGCCGCAGCACCCTCGCTGAGTGAGAAGAAGGTGTTATTCCCCAAATCTGGTGAAGAGAGAGGCAGCCAGGTCCACGCATAAAGGCGTCTAATCTGCACGGATGTGATGATCCTGTCCGAAACGCAGCTGCTACGGCTAATCTGTCCCAATCCATCTGCCAAACCCGCCAAATTACACCAACCTCTACTTAACAAAACCATACCAAAGTCCCCAGGCCCTCCTCACAGTCACCCAGAGCAACAGATCCCCAAACCACGATCACCACACCAAACAGGGCCAATATACTGCTTAGTAATTGTCATCGCCACACTGGCCTTCGCAGTGCTGTCAGAGAAGTGTGCAGCATGCAAATAAGCCACTATCCAATCACTAGCAGTGTTGGGGGTGGCACAGTAGAAAGTAACACATTACAATAATGTGAGTCCTTTTTCCTGTAACAAAGTAGTGTATAGCATTACAGTTGAAATTCTTGTAATCCTTTACAGTTACCAACTTAATAACAAATACATTACTTGCATTACCCATATGTATTTAAGAGAACAAAATTAATTAATTATGTGTGATGTATTAAAATAAGTTTCCACTACGTATAATATCTGTGCCCGTCTTTATACATAATTGGTATGCACATGTGATACCTGTGGCAGCTGACTGTGTGACTTTGACTATGAATATGAGCAGTGTAGAATGACAGCGAGACCTGCTGTAAACTCGACAAACAATCTGTCAAAGCATCTACTCACACTAATATGAAACTGATGAAGCTGACGAAGAGAGGGACCTTGCCTCACCTATTCAATTTTCATTCAGGAACAGCTCTGTAAGCTTTACATTTCATTCTGAGGCAACTTTATGAGCTGCTTCTGTTTGATGTTTCTTAGTGTTCTTCATTTTAAACAAGGATAATTGTCTATATCTTGTTAAAAAGTAGGAATACTGAAGTCTCTTACATTTCTTACATCCAGTTTTTACCAATTTTGACTATTTATTTCTGAATAAATTACTAAAAATGACCACTAGGTTTCCCTAGTACTGTTGGTACAACTGGGTTTTACAGAATAATGTAAATTTAAAGTAATAAGTAATGAGATTACTTTCTACAGGAAGTAACAAGTACTTCCATTACAGGTGGAGAGAAGTAATTAGTTACTTCTAAACTACTCTGTTGAATCAATTTTGATTCATGACTAGCATGTAAGCTTGTGGCTAGAGTGTTCGATGTTGAAGTCAGGGACATTTCCAGCCACTGCTTGTTTTGCTATATCAAAAATGTACCAAATTGAGACACAACACATCATACATACATAATCTAAACCGCTTATCCTTCTGGGTCACGGTGGGGTGCTGGAGCCTATCCCAGCTGTCATTGGGCGGAAGGCAGGATATACCCTGGACAGGTCGCCAGTCCATCGCAGACAGACAGACATATTCACACACTCACTCACACACACCTAGGGGCAATTTAGCATGTCCAATTAGCTTAACTGCATGTTTTTGGACTGTGGGAGGAAACCGGAGTACCCGGAGGAAACCCACGCAGACACAGGGAGCACATGAAAACTCCACACAGAAACGACCCTGGTCGCCCAGCCGGGAATCGAACCCAGGCCATTCTCACTGTGAGGCAACAGCGCTACCCACTGCGCCACCGTGCTGCCCACAACACATCATATTGAATCAAATTATGACTATGAATCGTTACACCACTACAGATCACTGAGTGTTTCTTGAGCAGCCTTGAAAAAGCAGCTCTTTAAAGGTTCATTAGTAAAGGCACGATTAAACATAGAACAGTGACAACTCAAAAAACACCAGCCAACCAACAGCAAAGCACTGTTTCGAGTATTTCCTGGCTCACGACAGCTGATCCACTCACAAAAAGCTCGATAATCAGTTGCTGTGCTGAATCAGGTGTGAGTCATAGGCCAACTTGAAATCTTGCAGAACTGTGGGTCGACAGGAACAGGATTAAAAACACTGGCATAAATGATTCTTTGAATTGATCAATGATTCTTCTCTATGATTAAAAACTTGTGTATGGTGCTTTAAAAACTTTTTAAAATAAGTTCTATGAAGCACTAAAATGGGTTTTGTTGTTGTTACAAGTCATAAAAACATTTATTTGGTAGTACATAGAACCTTTCACTAAGAGTGTGCGCGGTGATCATCCTGACCAATCACACATGGTCTTTGGGTGTCTGGATGAATCCCA